TCTGCCTGGCTCAACCATGGATCTTCCAGGCCATGAGGTGAAGCAACTGAAGGTCCAGGTGAAGGAGGCGGCCGTGATTCTGTAAGACGAGGTCAGGAACGAGAGGTAGATGTACCAGGGACTGGACTGACAGGTCCATGAGGGTGGGGTACCAGCACTGGCGAGGCCAAGCTGGAGCCACCAGTACGACGTCTGCCCTGTCCCTGCAGACCTTGAGAAGTACCTTGTGTATGAGCGGAAATGGTGGGAAGGCGTACAGTAGTTGACTGGACCATGGAATCAGAAACGCATCTGCGATCGAGCCCAGGCTGTGGCCCCGGAAGGAGCAGAAGGTTGGATACTTCCTGTTGGCCCGCATGGCGAACAGGTCGATTTGGGGAAATCCCCAACTGCAGAAGATTGAGTGAATGATGTCCGGACGAATCGACCCATCGTGCGTAAGGAACCGTCAGCTCAGGCTGTCCGCCAGCACGTTCTGAATGCCCGGCAGGTATGAAGCTTGGAGAAGGATGGAGTGGGCTAGACAAAATTCCCACAGTAGAAGGGCTTCCTGACAGAGAGGAGATGATCGGGCTCCGCCTTGCCTGTTTATATAAAACATGGCTGTGGTATTGTCCGTGAGCATGGCGACACAGTGACCTTGCAAGCGGGGCAGGAACACTTGGCACGCAAGACGGACCGCCCTGAGTTCTTTGATGTTGATATGCAGAGCCAGCTCCTCTACTTGCCATAAGCCCTGAGTTGTCAGGCTTCTAAGATGCGCTCCCCAACCCAGCGCAGATGCATTACCAGAGTCGAGGTGGGTTGGGGAGGGTGGAAAGTGACCCTGGCGCTCACCATGCAGGGGTCGAGTTACCATCGTAGGAAATCGAGGGTATGCCTTGGAACGGTCAGCACCATGTCCAGACTGTCGCAGCCCGGGCGATACATGGACACGAGCCACGCTTGCCGAGGCCTGAGTCGCAATCTGGCATGATGTACCACATAGGTGCAGGACGCCATGTGGCCCAGCAGCCTGAGGCACTGCCTCGCCATGCTGGAGGGAAAACTGCAAAGGCTGCTCATTATCTGCAAGAGGGCCAGACGCCATGCCTCTGGGAGAAACATTCTCGCTTGATTGGCATTAAGGACTGCCCCGATGAACTCTATTCTCTGAGTTGGGGTGAGAACAGATTTGCGGATGCTGAGAATGATGCCTAGGCATTCGAATGTGTCTGACCATTTGCACCTGCGATTCTACCTTCTGACCAGAGCAGCCATGGAGGAGCCAGGCATCCAGGTAAGGGTAGACATGCACATGATGGTGGTGAAGGAAGCTTCACATTTGGTGAAGACACGGGGAGCTGTGCATAGGCCGAATGGGAGAGCTGTGAATTAATAATGTACTTTGTTTACCACGAAGCGGAGAAACTGTCTATGAGCCAGGGTGATAGATATGTGAAAATAGGCGTCCTTCATATCGAGGGCAGCGTACCAGTCTCCTGGATCCAGAGAGGGAATGATTGTGCTCAAGGAGACCATGTGGAACTTCAGGCTGACGATGAACTTGTTGAGTTCCCTTAGGTCCAGAATTGGCCTCAGGCCTCCCTTTGCTTTGGGGACGAGGAAGTAACAGGAGTAGAAACCCTTGCCTTTGAGCTCCTGAGGCACCCCCTCCACTGCTCTTAAAGCGAGGAGGGTTTGAACCTCCTGGATGAGAAGTTGCTCATGAGAGGGGTTCCTGAAGAGGGATGGGCAAGGGGGATGGGAGGGTGGGAAGGAGCAGAAGTGGATAGAATATCCCGCCTCTACTGTGTGGAGCACCCATTGGTCTGATGTAATAAGGGATCATGCACGGTAGAAGCGGGATAGTCGGTTCAGGAAGGGAGGATAACTGTCCTGGTTGTGGACTGGTAATCCAACCTCGTGCACACCTTAAAAGGGGGCGCTTAGGGCCCGGAGGGGGCTTGGACTGTCCCTGGTCCTGCGGGCGGGCGCGATGGCCTACGCCAACTAGATCTATTCCTCCTGCAGGAGAAGTGCTGCCTGGGTCTAGCGGGGCAAAACTGCTGTTGGGTGATCTGTGGTTTGAAAGGCTTCCTTTGGGTTGCCGGGGTATGCATGCCGAGGGACTTAATGGTGTTACGGGAGTCCTTCAGGCTATGCAACCTAGAGTTTGTCTGCTCAGCAAACAGGCCCTGGCCGTCGAACAGGAGGTCCTGAATTGTTTGCTGAACTTCCGGGGGGAGACCCGAGGATTGGAGCCAGGCATTGCGTCTCATCGCGATACCAGACGTCAGGGTACGCGCTGCCGAGCCCACGGCATCCAAAGAACCTTGAAGGGAGGTCCGGGCTACAATTCTGCCCTCCTCAGCGATGGCCCCCAGTTCAGCCCTTGACTCGGACGGGAGAAGCTCTTTGAACTTTTGAACCACAGACCATGAGTTATAACTGTACCGGCTCAGGATCGCGAGCTGGTTAGTGATCCGGAGAGAAAGGCCCCCCGTTGAATAACCCTTTCTCCCAAACAAATCAAGGCGCTTAGCATCTCTTGATTTGGGCGCGGGCCCCTGCTGACCCTGCCTCTCTTTTTCATTCACCACCTTCACAACAAGGGAACACAGAGCAGGGTGAGAGAAAAGGTATTTGTACCCTTTAGCAGGGACAAGTTACTTCCGTTCGGCCCCTTTGGCCATAGGGGGAATGGAGGCAGGCGTTAGCCAAATGGTTTTGGCGTTAGCCTGGATAGTCTTTAGCATGGGTAAGACCACCCTAGAGGAACAGAGTGTCCACCACAGGGTCCTCGTCCTCTACCACCTCCTCCACCTGGAGGTTCATATTTAGGGCCACCCTTTGGAGGAGTTCCTGCAGGGCCCTGTAGTCCATGGGTGGTGGACCAGACGTGGAGGTACCCGCCACCGCCTTGTCAGGCGAAGATGAGGAAGACACCACCGGCAGGACTGGTTCCATGGCGGCCTCTGGATCCTCCGGGACCGGTTCCTCCCAAACCCCGAGTGCAGCCTCCACCAGGGGTGGAGTTGGATCCGGGTTTTGCAAGGGATCCTGAGGCGGGCGGCTGATGGTTGCCTCAGGGAGGGGAGACCCCAAACGGGATGGTGGGGGAGCACTGGTGCCGCGAATGGGACAGGTGATGCGCTAGGGAGCAGTGCCAAGATGGGGTGCCGTGCTGTGATGTAGAGTGGTACTGCTGCATAGAGCAATGCTGGTCCGTCGAGCGATGACTGGGGAGTGCAATCCGAGGTCGATGCAAGCGGTGCAGCGACGTCACAGACTGGGATGTGGACCTTGAGTGTGACCACGACCTATCAGTCGACGACCACCTCGAGCGAGAACAGCTCCGAGGGTGGGGGCTGTGAGACCGGTGCCATGTATATGTACGGTGCCAGGACTCAGAGCGGCGTCAAGACTCCGAGCGACGCGGAGATCCTGGTCGAGGGGCAGACGGCATGAACATGGCCAGTTTGCCTCTTGAAGGTACTGGGCCTCAGGGTAGCTGAGGCCTCGAGGCTGGAGACTTGGGCGCCATCATTTCCATAAGCCCCCTAGCGGCCTCAAAAGTGTCCGGTGTGAAGGGTAGTGTGACCTCCTCCACCTGCAGCCGCGGGGAGTCCAGGAGCACGGGGCTTCCTGGGGAGACAGGGGTCTGTGGAGGTTGAGCCCAACCGTAGGGTCTGTCGGCCGTAGGCCCATGTTCCGCAGCATGCCCTGCCGAGGTTGCGGTTCTGAATCAGGACATTGTGGAGGCTTGTCCTTGGCCTGCTTCTTGTGGGCAGCTGGCAAGTGGGAGCGGTGCCAAGGGGAATGCTTCCGGGCCCCGGGAGACCGCCGACCCCTGGGAGGGCATGCCGAGTCCTTTTCCAGTGCCACGGATGGCACCGCTGGAGGAGCGCTCTGCGCTGAGGCGCTTGGGGCCGGGTCCTGTTGTGGACGGAGGGCAGACTCCATGAGGAGTTGTTTTAAATGAATCTCTCTCTCTTTTCTGGCGCGAGGCTTGAAGGCCTTGCAGATCTTGCATTCATCTGCCTGATGGGCTTCTCCCAGACACCGGAGACAGGAGTCGTGTGGGTTGTCCATGGGTATAGGCTTGGTGCAGGAGCTACAGGGTTTGAAGCCCTGGGACGGCATGCCCCGGAGCCCCACGAGGCACTCGTTAAAGGGAAAACCCCCAACCACTAAGACTACAATTAACAACTAGTAGAGAACAATTAACTAACAACGGGTAACTATATACAAAGATAAACAGAAGAGCTAGGGATTAGTGGAGCACTTGCAAGCAAGAGACCACTGTTCCAACAACCGTCACTGGCGGTACGAAGGAACTGGAGGGGGGTTGGGCCAGCAGGGTTGTATACAGAGCGCCATACTGGCGCCACTCCACGGGGCTCCACAGCCGGCCCGACGGGTAGCTGCTAGGGAAAAGTTTCCAACAGCCGTGCATGCACACACCTAACGGGAATTGATATGAGCAAGCACTCGAAGAAGAACAAGACTGAAGTTCTGACTACACAACAGAACTGTGATGCAGTAGGATCAAGAGACAATCATGCCCTTCAACAGATTTTATTAGTAGGGCATATGGGCCAGACCTAGAAACACCCTGATGAAATGTAGCTGCTGTTTCAGTCATGGCTACCAGCGTGCCTAATACTGATGGTATTGGTATGTCCACGTGCGTATTTCCCAATAAAAAATCCAACATGAAGATGCATTGCAAAATTAAAAGAAAAATTACTTATACCAGATTTACTCCCACATGCAACTACAATACCCATTTCCCACAATCTTATGAAAGTTGTGTATATGCAACCTGAACATCTACATTTGATAACCCAGCCCCTAACATCTACTACAAATGTTTAATGGTCTGGAAGACATATTTATAAAAATCTGCTAAAAGCTGATGTGCTGACTACATGCAGAGTACAAAAAGTATCAGGGAAAGATACCGTCTTAAATTTCTGATATGACTTATTAAAATATAACAAATTCAAAGATCATACCAATAGTCATAGCTCTCATCCCAGTTATCAAAATGAACCAGGAAACGATTGTCCACCATGTCTGTTACCGTAGCAACACAGATGAATGTCGGATTTTTTTTGTCTACAGCTTCAAGCTTCATTCCCACTCGAAATCCCGATGGAATAACTGTCTACTCAAACAGAAAGTTTAAATTAAAGGTTAATAACACACACTACATCCCAAAACCTCCCCAGAGTCCACAATCAATACATACATTGTCATTTAAAAATTTACCATCATTTAAAAATTTACCAATTAGCTGGCCAACAATGCAGCAACAGCCCAATTAGCTTACATGAAAGATGCTCAAACATAGATACAGACTCTGAGATCATGGTTTATGAAACAAAAATTTCTGAGCATGTTGCAAAATTTGTAGACTTTGGTTTAGACAGACACTACCTCTGACAGCTTTCTCCTAGTCCCATAAAATGATAAAAATAGTATGATGCCAGTTCATGATACAGGCAGGATAGACAAACGGGATAAAATGTTGGCTAAAAGGAAGATTAAAAACCAGCCAAGAGAAACTGTTGCTTATGCCTAATAACGATTAAAAGTTATTCCATGTTTTGGTCAATAGTCTTAGTCTGAGAAGGAGAGAAGCAGGCTTAAATCCAGTGGTGCCACAAAAGTATAAACAATCTTATAAAATTTAGGGAGGATTCATGGGAAAATATGCAAAGAACTGAGGCCAGGAGCAGAGAAGCCAGGTTGGATAGCAGTGGGGGACGGACAGGAGCTGAGGTGGGGTAGGAGCAGAAAGGGACAGGGAGAGACTGGAAGGGAACAAGGAACAGAGAAAAGGGAACGGGGATGTAGTGGAAGGGCCTGGGGGAGGAAGGTTTGGAGGGGAACAGGAGTCAGTCAGTGATGGGAGGGGACAGGCAGGATCTGGGGGATAGCAGCAGCTTGTGGGATGGGTTAGGAGCAGATGGGGACAGAGAGAGGCTGGGGTGACAGAGGCAGAAGGGTCTATAGCTACTAGACACACTCCCCTACAGAACCTAGAATTTAACCAATTATTCCTGAGTCTCAACACTCCTTTTTTGTGTGTATCTTATCTCCCTCTAGTGGCAGATCCACACAGATGCTAACAGCCTTCCACTGCTACCAGCTACTCTGTTAGCTTAAGTGGAAAGGAAGGCTATTCCAGTGGTTAGAGGACTGGCTTAGGATGTGAAGACCCAGGTTCAATTACCTCCTCCACCACAGACTTCTTGTGAGACCTTGGGCAAGTCACTTAAACACTCTGTGGCTCAGCTCCCCATCTGTGGGTAATAATGCTTTCCCTACCTCACAGGGATGTTGTAAGGATTAATACATTGAGAGATTATAAAACAGTTTGAGGGCTACTGATAAAAAAGCGTTATATAAGAAATTATTATTTCACATGATGAAACTTTTGGGGTTTTTTCAGTTTAAAAAACGTAGGAAATACATTTAAAAATGTAAAAAGAATGTGAATAATGCAAAGTCAAATACTCAAAAGTTAGGAAATATCCAGATTTAAGGTGGACCGTTCATCCTGTGCACAGAATGAGGCACAGGACCTGTGGAAAAAAAAGTGTTTATTCATATAATTAAGGACTGTAGCATAATGCAGATGCAGATGGGGGCTTAATTAAGATTAAACAGATAACCTTACTTCTAGTATTTCCTAACTTGAGTGCTTGACCTTGCAACCTTAAAGTTCTTTTAACACAATTTTTATATTATTATATATATATATATATATATAATGCTTAATATATATATTAAATATATATATTTAATTCATGTGGATTTCAGAGGTGAATTTTAATACAGATTAATCATTTATCAAACCTTAAGGAAAAAATTATTTACAGGATTTCCAAAATCTCCTGTCACTGAAATGATACAAATGAACCGGCTAGCAACTTTCTGCAGCAATGAAGAAGCGGCAAATGAAGAATACTTACCGTGTTCTGGTTTTCAAACAAAGATTTAGGAGCAGCTTGAGCCTTACATGTTTTAAGATATGAGGGCCAGTTAAACTCCTCTTCTTCATATCCTAAAAGGTTTCCACAAAAAAGTGAAACAGAAGAAAATATGCATGAGACACAGGGTTGATTATGGCAATCATAATCTTCTATAAAATTATTTTTTCAGCAATTCATTTTTCATCTAGTCCCAAATCATTCAATTCCAGAATTTCACAAATGGAAAAAATAAATTAAATGGTTTTAAATTCTTTAAACATTAAATAATAATATTATAAGTATCTTCTATAGTAAAACTATTAATATTTAGGGCCTGTTTCTTTGCTACATTACTCCAGTTTTATCCCAAGGTAACGCTGATGATTTCAATGATTTCTATTTTTATTTGGCACCTGGTAATTCAGAGAGGAATCAGTAATCCTTCCCTGCTACCAGTTAGCTAAGCTTATTTATCACAAAGACCAGCTTTCGTTTTAGTATCTGAACAAAATTTTATGATGACCTGAGTGTCTATTTTTCCTCCTGATCTGAAATTGATCAGCTTCTCATCTTTTTCCAGGACTGAAGTTTTGACTGTTCCCAATCTTCATACAGGAGGAAAGATGGTCTTGTGGCTCAGGCTCTGGATTGGGACTCAGGAGATTTGGGTTCAATTCCTAGTTCTCCCACAGGTGATCTGAGGCAAACTTTCTCTGTGCCTCTATTCCCTATATGCAGAATAGGGATAATACTACCTCCTTTCTTCCACACTTTGTCTGTAGTGTTTATTTGTATCGTAAGCTCTTTAGGACTGGGACTGTCCCTTACTATGTGTATATATAAAAAAAAAAAACACTTTGGTACAATGAGGCCTGAGTTTTGGTTGAGGCCAATAGCTATTACTGTAATACAAATAAATAACAATACTGAGAAAAATGTTTTAAGGAAACAAGCAATTATCAGAACATGAACATTCAACATTGTTTATCAGTAGGGACAACCACCATTTTTTCAAGAATGCAGCTATTTTGTTTTGCTTCTGTGTTTCAACAAACATTTCTTAGTATAATTTCCCCTTTTTCACTCAGTTTCCTTTAGAAGAAAATTTAACAGAAAATAATGTAACTCACAGGAAAAGTCTATTTATATTCCCGGTCACTAAAAAAAAGGCAACAAAGATTACTAATATGCATAGTTACATATCTTCCTTTGTTTCCCTGTTGTATAGTCGTATAAAGCCATTTCAAGATATTGCATAAAAGTCAGGGGTAGTTAATTATTTTCTGTTAAGGTCCACATTTCTTGGTCAAAGTACAGTCAAGGTCCAGACTTCAAAGACAATAATTTAAAAAACAACAACAATGATGATAAGCAAATAAAACGATTTTGGGGGCTGTTCAAAAGCATCTGGCGGTCCGGATTTGGCCCACGGTCCTCATATTGACTACCCCCGGCATAGATGTTACGGATATATAAACCAAGCTTAGCCATACTGTCAATCATTTACCACACAATATATCCCCCTTCTGAGTGCTATTTAAAACATACCAGGAGAAAATAATTGTGTTTAACCTTTTGGGACCCTCTTATTTTGTGAAGCACTGTAAGAAAATTATTGAGCAGCCCCTTCTTCCTTTTAAACCTCCCCTCCCCTCACAGTTTTAATTGTAAATATTAGCTAAAATTAAATTAACTGCAAAAAACAAATATAACTAACCCCCTTTCTCTGGGTCCATGGGGGCCTCTTGTATTAAGCAGAGGAGCTGTAGGCGCACTCCTATATGCAAACCAGCTGACCAAATTACCCCTTAGAGGGGCCACAAAAACACAAGACTTTATTTTTCCCACAGTGGGTACTCCATAGTGCTTAATAAATAATGCCACTGGCTTAATTACTTGCCAGACAACATATACACACACAACTGACATCAGTACTACCAGAAAGTGCCCAACTCATTAACTAAAAACTAGACTCCAATATCTTATTATAATACTTGTAATACTCTAAAATGTTTCTTCTTTCTACAGGTTTGTTTTCAGCCCTCAGTGATTATTTGAACATTGTTGTTATGTGAATTTTCTTGTTTTTAATCATCTCTTGCTGAAATTTCATTACCAAGTTTGTTTGAAATTACATCATTATTAGGGCTAATATTTACTAAATGTATTTTAAATCTGCAAATATATCACATACATTGTTTTAATATGGTCTTTAAAAAGGGTGATAGCATATATGAGACTTAATTTTAAAACACTGTTACCTTAGGTGCTTTCATTTAAGTTGGCTTAGTAACACTGGTTTATTTTGTTTTATAACACAAACATTACACCTTTGCATAATTTAATTTTCACAATAAAGTATCAGAATGGGGAAATTCTCTCTTCGCTGTGAATTTTCATGTTAGGCCCCTCCATGCCTGACAGTTTTCAAAATGGGTGTTTCCTGTTTCATTTGCAAAGAGTGACGATGAATGCAGGTTAAGCTGAACAACTGGAACTCTGTTAAACCCTAGGCACTGCTCTGTCCATGTTCTAAGTTGCTTCCAACTTAACTTCCTGCATTCCCTATTTTCTTGGTGTCCCATCAATAACAATCTCTCCAAGGAACATGGGCCCCCTGACTCCAGTTCCACTGATCATGATGCATCTTCCCTATTTTACAAACATTTTAATATAAACACTGGAAACAAACAGATGCCCAGCCCCCTCACCGCACATTCCTTTAGCCAAAGGTGTTGGCATAAGTGACTGGCTGCTCCTGCAAAAAAGCTACACCCAATCCCTGTTTCAATGCATCACACAGGAGTGTCAGTGGCTCTCCTGGCTGACAGTACTTAAGGACAGGGGCATATGTTATTTGTTTCAGCATGTCAAATGTTTGCCCAATCCCACTCAACATGCTGCCTTCTGAGCTACTGAAGCCAGGTGTGGACAGAACTTAGACAAAAAAATTTATCACTCTTATTGAGTGCTGAATACCCCATTCACATCCACTGGAGATGGCATGTTTCTGCTTTGATCTGCTTTCAGCTCTTTGTGTGCGTAGATGTCCAACATATGTCACCTCACACTGATTAACATATTTTGTTGGTTGAGTTTTATATTCTCGTCCCTGCATCATTGTAGAAAAGCTTGTAGCTTTCGGTCATGGTATCATTCAGTTTTTGTATTGTTGTTCCCTTCATCTCCAGTGAAGATATCTCAAATTATTTTCACTCCAGGCAATCCCTCCAGCACTTGGGGGAGTCTTTTCTGGCACACCTCCTGTGCTGGCCTTATGCCCATTGGCATGCACAGCCATCTGTAGCAACCAAATGGTGCTGCAAAGGTTGTCAGCATGCTGGACATTTTATTCTGACTTATGTGCCAAAACCTGTTCCTCACATCACAGACTGTAAAAATTCTGGTTCTGGAAAGTTCTGGCAAGATGTCATCAACAGTGGCCAGTGGATATGGCATCTTTTCAATGTCCTGTTCAGCGGCTTCGGGTCTGTGCAGATGTGTAATTTGCTTGATAGCTTCTTTACTACCATGCTGCTTACCCAGGCTGTTCTGTCTCTACAGATGCTCTGAAACCCCTGCTATGCAGACTTTCGAGTTCCTTGCATACTCAATTACACAGTGTCACTGTAATTTTCTTTCATGATAAGTGCATAGGTTCCACTCTGATGCACCCATCCTTTGATGCACCTGTCATCTTTGAAAACATCCCCATGTGCTTTTAAAATTGTCTCCATTGTCCGTGGGACTCCCATTTTTGCTTCCTGCATGGCAACTATAAAATTCGGATGTTGCACCCTGACTAGGTCCATGGGTTATATGGCTGTATTCACCAAGAGGAGGCTGCTGTGCTTACTATCCTCCAACACAAACTTTAGTTGGTACCATCTGCTATTCTTCACAGTAGTTACTATGAGATCATATCTTCCTCTGGGCTGCATTATGCTCTCACTGTACATTATTGGCTTGCAACTGCTTTTTGTAATGGTGTGTTAAATTCCAGTTCACCCTGAAGAGTTACATTGCAGGAGGTACTGCTATCCAACTGAAATTGCACAAGGCTTTCCCCATTTAACACTGTTACATTCACAGGAGATTGGTATTGTCCATGGTTGCTTTCCTGTCCCAACAGCCTGAACCTGATATTGTCTCTGACTCAATGACAGAATCATAAGTCATCACCGTTATCTGATGTGCCATCCCCTTCATGTACAAGTCTGACTCAATCTTTCTGAGATCTGCTTCTGCTCTTGTACAAACTGCTAAAATAGTTCAACTTACCACATTCCTTGCAATGCTGTCATAGTGTGGGATACTTCTTTACCCACTCACGCTGCCTCCCACAGTAAATGCAGCTATCGGTATGGAACCATGGCCACTTGCCCAACTTTGTTGTTGTCTCACTTCATGTACTTCTGGGCGTGTTGTGCCTCCCTAAGGTTTTCATCCTCTCTTGAGGTTTTCACTGCATGCCCCATGTCTCAGCGTCTGTCTAATGTGAGATTGCCTTCCTGGAGCTGCCACTCATATGGGTGGTGACCCAAGCGCCACAGACTATCCTGTCCCAAATTAAGGAGTCTTGTCAAGTCCCCAGAATTGCATGTAGCAGCCAGTGTGAATAAGGGAGTAACATAGGGTCTATCCCCTCCCCTTGGCATTGATCTCTAGCAGAAAAACCTGTTTTATTCCAGTTTTGTTCTGCTTTGGGGAGGCAACAGGTCTCCAGAGTTACTAAGACTGCTGTGAGGCTGTAGGCAGTGGTGAGCTTCACAGTGGTGCAAACACCTCTCTGCCTTCTTCCCCAATAAGGTAACATAACGGTTTTACTTTCCTGCTGTTCCTGTCCTCCTGCATGGCCAGGTCTGTGCACAGCTCCAACTCCTTGCACTGGGTCCATTGCTGGGCTAGGTTTGCATCTGCAAAATCCAGGGCTCTGGGGAGCTTCAGACTGACTTCCCTGGCTCACACTGCCAACTGCTGCACTGCAGAGAACTCACAGCTCTGACACTGACACCATGTTTCATTAGCATGGAGTGAAGCTGAATGTAGGTTAATTCAAATAAGTTGAACTTTATTAAACCCTTTGCCATGT